GAAATAATTCTCCAAAATAACATCCATTTATGTATAAAATAATCGAAAGTAATCGAAAAAGTAATTATAATTACATTGAAAATTTTAGCTGTAATCGATTAAATTACGATTACAAGTAATCGAAAATCTCTTCGATTACAGATTACTGTCGATTACTTGAAAAAAAGTAATCATTACAATTGATTACGATTACTCGATTACGATTACCCCATCCCTGCTCAGTGTAATCTACTTGTTTGCCAAGTTATATTGAAATCAGGCCAAAACTGTAGGAGGAGTAGCATTTTGAATGTATTTCACAGAAATTTCTATTTTTAGAAACCAAGGCAACACGAAATCAAAAACAGAATTATGTATCTTAGTGTAGTCTACTTTTGTGCCAAGTTATATTGAAATCAGACCAAAACTGTAGGAGGAGTAGCATTTTGAATGCATTTCACTGAAATTTCTATTTTTAGTAACCATGGCAACACCATTCACCAAAATCAAAAACCGATATAAAGAGTAATGTATCTTAGTGTAGTCTACTTGTGTGCCAAGTCATTTTGAAATCAGACTAAAACTGTAGGAAGAGTTGCATTTTGAAAGTATTTCACAGAAATTTCTATTTTTAGTAACCATGGCAACACCGTTCTCCGAAATCAAAAACCAATACTCAGAATTATGTATCTTAGTCTAGTCTACTTGTGTGCCAAGTTATATTGAAATCAGACCAAAACTGTAGGAGGAGTAGCGTTTTGAAAATTGTTTACAGACAGACAGACAGACAGCTAGACAGATGGACAGACGGACGGACACCTTACTATCGCATAAGCTCTTCTGGTCTCTGACCAGTAGAGCTAAAAAAGAACTTCATTTTCCATTTTTTTTGGTATGCTTGTGAAATGTTACCGTTCTAAAGCATATCCCCCAACTGTTCACAGTGTTATTTGAGATGCCCTTTGTCAAAGTGATTCTTTAATCACGTTTTCCTCAGCTGGTCAATATTCCTTTAATTTGGTTTATAGACCATTAATGTTTTCGTAGGTTTGTATGGATATGAAGTAAAAACACATCATTGTCACAATTTTTTTTCACTGAGAGTATATCAGAATCATAAGTTTATAGATTGATTTTACATTTTTATCTGAAATATGATATTGTAACTCATAACAAAGCACTTTAGTACATTTCATCCTTCAACAGTTGGAAACCTGATCAAATGGAGAATCACGGAAGAAAAATATCAAGAGATTTATCATATTATTTAATAATTACTTATAAGACTTGAGGCTATTCTTTCATTTTCAGCACTGTGATCCGTTTACTATAATACATTGCATTCTGATTCACAAGCAGACTCTTAAATTAATAGACTATTTCCCACTTATATTGAACATGATTAATGGGATTGTAGAGACTATTTCCATTGAAGGAAGGATGAAAAACATAAAGACAACTGGCATTTACAAATTCCTTATTAATCTTTTTTTTTTTCTGTGCACTTTTTACGAATCTTTTTTTTTAAGAATACAGAATCACATATTGTCTTATGTCTGTTATGAACAGATCTATATATTAATTATAATATACAGTTAATTCTTGCTTTTAGAAGCATGAATTATAATAGGACAAATTTTCAAGGTATAAGGCATTATAGAAAAGTATCAATATATAATTAATTAAGAAAACATGCTAATATTTGCTCATATTAAACCAATTCTACTATTATCATACTATCATCATACATAATCTTCTAAGAATTGAAACATTACCTAATAATTGAAATTGTGCTTAATAAGAAAGCTTTTTTTATTACAATTTTATTGTAATTTTATTATACATAAACTCTGCAATGTAGTTTTAAGCCTTTGGGAAAATCTTTTGTTTTTCAATACCTGAAAGCAAGAGAATTGAAAAAAAAAATATTCAGAAGACCCCATCCCAACAAAAAATGAACTTATTACAAAAATGCTAATCATTTTGTCAGATTATAACTTACTAAAATAGCACCCATAAAATATCTAATCACAGAGTTTGAACTTTCTATGAACTTTTTTCCCTGTACACTCTACATCTAATATAGATAAATGTTATATTGTTCATACCATGAAAGCAAGGCTTCCCAAGAATTGTTTCCTCGGGGGAAAAGGATAGATTCCGTTCTCCAAATTGAATGTATCTATGTATCAGAACATTCACTCTCATGGAAATCATTTTTGTTTTTATCGCTTTCCTTTCCTTAGTGAAAAATACTCAACACAAAGATGTATTCTTTTCTTTATAGCTAGAATTATTGTGTTTCTGATTATTGCAAAATTCAAAACCCAAGAACTCATTGGAATAAATAGTAAATTTCAATAAAAAGTCACTTTCATGTAGGGCTGTTTATCGGCTGGAAATTTCATAATGCGAAATGTTGCATTATTTTTAATTGTATTGCGATATATATTGCAATATTTTCAATGACAGTTAATATGCTCTTTTTCTTATTTTATTAACCTCCATCTATAAGCAGCGTTTGTAAAACTATTATAAATACATTGCTACAAAAAAGTTTTTGTTGATTTCGGATCATTACATGCAGTTTTAGAACAAAATGCAACCATACGACAGCAACCTTACCGTTTGGTACTGTTTGGCAATATTTAAAACATTTCTGACATATCAAATTTCATATTTTACTTAAGAAATCAAAAGTTCAAGCAGTTTGTCGGTATATCGATACTAGAGAAACGTATTGCAATATATTTTTTGTTAATGAATCGCAATATACCAGAATATTGATATTGTGCAGCCCTACTTTCATGACCTTGTCAATACAGACTACATTATAGGGGACTATTTAAGTTGTAATTGCAGAAAAGCTGCAAGTGTAAGTGTATTATCCCTATTATGCACCCCTGCCCACTTAGGGGGTCCCCTAAAATATTTTTCAATTGGTGAAAAGCCCCCCCCCCCCCTTTACCTTATAAGAAAAGCAAATTATACTACAAACAACTTCATGATCATTTCTTGAAAATGGTGGTGAAAGTTTGTTTAAACTTTTGCAAATTGAAGCATATTGTATTACATTAAAATTTCACTCCTCTTATGGAAATAATGAATCAATAAATATAATTTGAGTAGATTTATCTTATTGTGAAATAAAGTATAAAAATGTAAATAAATCTAGACTAATTTTCATTATCATTTCAAAGTTAAATATTATTTCCCATCTAACTTTTTTTTGTTTGGTTTTAATAATTCAAATACTGTATTCACTTTGTACACAATAAATTAGTACACCATATTCAATTCTCCATCTCATTCAGGTGTCAAGATTCATAAACTATTAACAACAATAATTAATCTATACACTAGCTACACGATATATTTTATTAATCTAAACATTGTGTGACTTCATATCAGCAGCACAAAGTTTACAGATATAATTTCATAATGAGCAGGAATTCTGAAAAGGTTACTTGCAACAAAATAGTGGTCATTCAGCTATAATCACTGTACACTTAGTCTATCACTTGTGATCATTCAAAGTCTTTTGATAATAAATATTCATGAAATCTTTGTTTACCAACACGCTTGCATAAGGTGTGAAATCTCAATATAGATGTCAAAATTAATGGATATATCAGTAACTTAAAAGCTTCTACAGCTCAAAAGTCTCAAAAAGGACTCACTTTTCAAACAATCATTTACAAAGTTTGTCTGCAAAATGTCCAAAAATAAAGAAGCTTTATTAAAGGAAATACATGTAAAACACTATCAAACTTTACCCATCTTGGGATCACAAAGGCTGTTATATGTGGATAAGGTTTTTCACAGAATCAAGAGTCAAAGTTTTCAATATAAATAAGAAGACTGTGTGTTACAAGAACAAGATTTTTAAAGCTTATCACCTAAGACTTACATGTAGCTCCATCCTTGAGCATGAACAAAGGGGCATAAATTTCACAACTTTAAGAGAGGACTTATTTTTCATGATATTCATAAGTAAACAATATATTTACTATGTCCAAGAGTCTTCAAGATTTAACATAAATTCAAGCTTTGCCCTACCCCGGGGCACGTAACTTTAATATCACAATTTTTAAAACTGATTTCATATTTTGGGTCCCCTATCAGGGATCGACATTAACGGTTGTCCGATTGCCAGGGGCAAGTAAATTCTCAGTTCGGGCAAGTGAAATTGTTATGTACTTGTCCGATCGGGCAAGTTAATATTTCTGATAGATTTTTTTTTATATCTTTCATTAGTTTATAAACAAAACAATAAATTGAACATTTGATTTCTACCAGGCATATGACATTGTTTTGCATTCGTAAATTCCTCGGTAGCGTTTGAAAAATCGGGTTCATTATTCCGTTTTTCTTTCGTGGTAGTTGACAAAAATACGCTTTCCGTCTGACAACTTTCTTTACATTCTTATTATGAAATAAAATACATAAAATAGTTTATTTATTAACTCACAGAATATAAAGAACAGTTATTCTCGGTGCACGATGTATTCTGATCAGGATATGTAAGCATGGCAACTGTTTCCCCTTTTTCATGGAAAAAAAAATCAAGATTCGCAAAAAGATCGCACAAAAATAAATTTAAAAATATGAATGTTATTTTATGGGAAATATTGCTGCATGGCAGTGTGAGTTTACAAGTATTTAAAATGTAAAATGAGCAGCACATCAAATTTTTTCTGGCACTTATCTTGCCAAATATAAAGTAAGATCTCACTTTATTTACAATAAAAAATTAAGATACCGGTTCTCTTCTTTCTAAATTTTGGGCAACCAAGTTTTGCATTCGGACAAGTCAAAGTTTGAGTTCACTTGCCCGAAGGGCAAGTGAGTCTGAAAGTTAATGTCTATCCCTGCCTATCCACCTTATGATGGTATATTGTATGAACTAAATTGTTTGAAATACACATGATGCAGTATGTGTGATACAGCTAGATGACCTAAACACAGTACTGAATAAATAACTAACAACATACCTACAGAATAAATAACTAACAACATACCTACAATTCTGGACTGCACAACATGATCAGAGGCTGCATTACTTAGTGCAATAAATCCACCCTGAAAAATAAACAATTAAAATGAAAGATTTAAACATCTTTGTGTATTGCTAAAATTTAGACAAGATCTTTCATATTTTGTGAATCTATTTCTAGCATTTAAAAAAAAGAAAGATCCAGAGTTGTGGAAAACTGCCGGTCATGCCGGCAAAACCGACAACAAATGCGTGTGACCGGTAAAAATGCTATCGATGTCAGTCCAAATGACCGGCCCATTTTTTGGTTAAAGTTTTTTGTTTTAACACTTATCATCGGCGCACTTCCCAGCTTAATTATCGTACCTTATATGCGATTGTGTAATACTTGTTCTTTACACAAGATCGAGGCTGTAAATGAAAGTGAAACCAGCATGGTCTCGTGACCTAATTTACAACTGGGGCAGAATTAGGTAGAAAATGTAAAGAAACAGATAAAGACAAGCTAAATATGCAAAAATTTCGACAGAAAGAATTCAAACACAGTTGGGGAAAGCGGTAAATTTAGTACTTCCGACTGTCCCGGATTTCGTTTTTTCATCGATCGTGTTGATTTCTTTATTGTCGATGCACAGAATTTCAACACTTTTTTTAGACTCATTTTCTAGGTTAATGTAATTCCCCAATGCATAAATGTTAAAAAAAAATTACATTTACTGTGCTTGAATTAGCATGTCACCTGCCCAAAAGCGGTGAAATCTAGAATTGTTATAAATGCAAAAAAAAAAAAAACAAAAACAAAAAACAACCGAAAATGGAAGAGGACTTGAAAATGGAGACTGAATGTTATATTATTATTAAGTAAATAAATGTGTAATGAAGTAAATAAATGTTATGGTTTTTTTTTATTTTGTGACTTACTATTTCGGACCGGCAAAAATCACTCAGGGTTAGAAACTCCCTAAAATTACAACTCGCAAATAATTGCGAGTACAAGAAAGTGAACTCACAATTTTATAAGACTACTCGCAATTTTCATATAAAGTTAAATTTATATAAATTAAATACATGCTGTACATGTAACTTAAGGAAAAAGTAACTACTGTACAATATACAACTACAGTGTGACTTTTAAATTACTGATTTAAATCAAAAGCATTGTGTTCTGTCATACTATGTAATTTTGTTACAGTTTCAATGCAAAAAAATCAACTCGCAAGTTTTTGCGAGTTACCTAATTTTTAACTCGCAACTTGGGAATTCTAACTCGCGTTTTGAGAGTTGTATACAGTGAATTTCGAACCCTGTCACTTCAGACCAGCTTATTTTGTCTTCTTGCCAGTCCGAATGACTAGCTATCTGAAAAAGTTTTCCACAACTCTGAGAATCAAATATTTACAAATTTTTCATTAAAAGTCGTTGCTTACAAATTTAAAGTCATTAGTAAATGATTTGTTTGTTTGTTGTTTAACTTCCTTGAGAATTTTTCACTCATATGGAGACAAGACCACTTGCCGGTGGAGGACTGCAAATTCTAGACCTATACTCAGCACTCAGTGCCATTAAGCAGTAACGAATCTCAGATTTTTTTGTGCCAGCACCTACTGCGACACGGGACCTCGGTTTATACAGTCTCATCCGAAGGACCTGTCTCCACAGGATTCGAACCCACGACGTAAGGATCAACTCCTTACTCCACGACTCTAGGACAAATGCTCTAACCACTGCACCACACGGGCGACTCATTAGAAACTATAAATTTTTATTCATTAGTAAATGAAAATTTTTAATTACTCAATATCACATTTCCTTCATCTTTACCTACCTCAGAAGTATACATTAATTTTATAAAATTTTGAAGTTTTATATACAAATTTAAGCAAAAGTTTGGGTAAAAACCAGATAAAAGATATACTGCTTATATGTAACAACGGACTGATCCAATTTATTTTTCTTGTATTCAGTATCTATATGCAAGGGTGAAAATTTAGTGATTAAAATTTTAGCGGGCTGCTTCAAAACCACTAAAATAAGCCAAAGTTAGCACCCAGTTAAAAATTCCCCCTATATAGTACTTTAAAAATGTCATTGTTCAATCCTTAGGTTTTTTTCACCATAGAATACATGACAGGCGACTTCAAAGTTTTTACCATTGTCTAATGAGAATTTTACCATTTAGTATTCGAATGCACAAAATTTTTACAATTTAATTTTTTTTAACTTTTCTTAGGTCTGTTATTATGCAGATAAAACAAAGGAATATTCTACGATTTTATTTCTTGCAAATTTGAATGCTACCCAAAAATCCACAAGAAATTAAACAACCACAGAAAGTTACCCGTTGTTTGATATTCATTACACAAAGTAGCCTTTTCTTACCTTAGGTGGATACTTGAATGGAGTGTTTCCAAAGTTGAACTTCATTTCAGCATTCTACAACAATAATACAAAAAAATCTAAAATTAATTTGTTTGTTTGTTTAACGTCCCTCTCAAGAATTTTGCACTCATATGGAGACGCCACCACTTCCAGGTGGAGAGCTGCAAATTTTAGACCTACACTCGGCACTCAGGGCCAATGAGCAGTGAGGGATCTTTTTGGTGTCAGCACCTACTGCGACACGGGACCTCAATTTATACGGTCTCATCCAAAGGACCGGTCTCCATGTCCCACAGTGAGATTTGAACCCGTGACGTAAGGATTAACTCCTTACTCCAAGACTCTAGAGCGAATAAATATTACAGTTCATCAGTTGATGTCCACCTGCGAGTGTACTCGTGAAAACAGTTATATTGTATTCTTCAACCTGACCTCGTTCTAAATCACGTCTTTGAGCATGTTTGGTTGCCGTTTTCAGAATTTAGCAAATTAATAGCCATTCTCTGTAACCACTTAAACTTTTGTGGCACGCATAGTCACAGATTTTTTTCAAATTTGGCTAGAATTTACCACTTCACAAACTACTCCAAAAAATATTGTTAGATCATATGAATGTTGAGTAGTTACCATGGAAACGGTGTCTAAAGTTGATTTTTTCTGAAAAAATGCAATTTTTGGGAATGTCAATCAATGAAATGCGGCTACTTCAATTCATGTTACTCACAGAAATAAAAAGTATGACATCTGATTTTAAAAGGCATTTAAAAACATTGTTGGTATTCAGTCTATAAATATAAGAAATATATGATTAAAATAGCAGACACTCATTTAAAAATTGAATTATCTCCCTTTGATAATTGTGAGCTCTTTAGTGCGAGAGATAAAAAAATCATTGGACAAAACTGACTGGAAGTTGTTTACATTATCAACATGTATCCTGGATTTCAAGTAAAATCAAGTGTTTTTTTCTGTTTATTTAATGTGCATAAAAATTTTAACCTCTTTGTTTATTTCCTGCATGCAAAAGAATAATTTTGATGAGTGAACAGTGGCGAAACGTAAAAGACCACATGGTAAAGGAAATCAGCTCTGTGCACATTCATGATATTGAAGCCTAAGCCTCAAGGTCTTAGGAGTTTTAAAATGGAGATAAAAGATAAACTTGAGATATCAGAATTATATTGAATTGGTTGTAAGAAGAGGTACAATGTCTCAGTCAGAGTGATATACTATAATGAATACAGCCTTGGAAAGTCAGTGCCTTTTTAAAACAAATGTGGGAAAAAAAAACAAAACTGAATTATAATGTGAGAGAACTAGGATATTGATTTTACCTAAATAATTAAAGTCAAGCTACATTTACATGTTTGTACAGAACTGGAAGTTGAAGTTTATATTGAATGATGTATGTAAGTTGATGTCTGTCATTAAAGGGATGATCATTTGATGCGAAGGGGGGGGGGGGGGGGGAGGTTACAGATTTTAGAAACTAAAGTCCGTTCTTGAAAATGTTGAAAATAAATAATCTGTCCTCAACTGGCAGGAAAATAAATAATCCATCTTTGATAAGTGCTACAACCTCCAACCCAAAGGCACTTGTTTCGGTAATAATTTTTTAACCCATATTATAATAAGTATTATTATTATACTATGGGTTAAAAAAAATTATTCCGGAAACAAATGCCTACCCCCCCACCCCCACCCCCACAAAATAAAGTTTGGACGTTTTCCCTTGGGGCGGGTGGATTGTTTATTTTATTTTCAGACTTTTTTCAGTGAAGCAAAAAATACATAATCTGTCCTGGATCATATTGGAAATGAATAATCTGTCCTTCAATTCCATGAAAATAAATAATCTGACTCGGAAAAAATTTGCCCCCCCCCCCTTCTGAATCAAATGGTCTTCCCTTAACCCATAGTCAACGCAGTCATATTATGCAGTTTCAAACAGAATTTATGTCATTCATAATTTACAATTTTTATATGATGAATGTTTTCACTTGATAGGATTTGCTACATTTAAAATATAAACTGATACTCTTTACACCCTCATTCTAAAATTAAAGAACGTAAAAGTACATTTTATCTCTATTTAAAGGCTACATGTAGAAAAAAATTCACACCTAAAAACCTTGTATTAGTGAGGGATGTAACAGAAAACTCAATCTTTTTAATACTACTGTTTGCCTTTATCTGTATCTGATTCAGTAAAAAAAAGGGAAAAGTTATCTGCGTATATTTCAGATTTGAACTTTTTATTCAATGACTTTGAAAATATGTACAAAGAAATAGATAATGTTCCTGATCCAAGTAGTTTCTTTAAGGGAATGGTCTTTATCCAAAAAAAAAAGAATTAAAACAAAATTGTTAAGGTCAGTAATGAAAATGTTTTGTTTTGTAATTGATTCCTTTCAACCAGTGAAAATTATACTTTCGATTTTTTTAGGGGGGGGGGGGGTGTTTGCATAGAAATACAAATTGTCTGAATCATAGTTAAAGTTATCATTTTGATCAAGTTTATCATTTCTCTAGACTAAGAAAAAAGTGTAGATTGAACCTTGTAGCATTAAAACTAATAGTAAATCTGTGTAGCTGTATTTTATTAATAATGAAAACATACATATATTTCTGACAAGCCCCCCCCCACCCCCACCCCACCCCTTTCTACCAAAAGAAAAAAAATCATAAAATTAAACACAAAAAATCTATACTCGGGAATGGGGGCGGGTTGGGATTAATCACTTATGAATGAACCGCTTTATAATGCTTCTTAATGTTTCACAAGGGATCCGTGTTTTTCTTACAAATGACTCTTACCAATTTATGTGGGGTAAGTGCTTTTACATGGTTCCTGGAAGGGATGGAGTAAGTCCTGGTCATTGGTTACTTTATCATGTTCATTTTAAAATATGAAAACCGTAGGAAGAGGGCAGGGACAGATTATTTTCAATATTTTCAAGGACTCAAGTTAAATGCTATACTAACAAGCTAATTCAGAGAAGCTGTGTCCCCTGCTTAAGGAAAAAAGAGCATATATGGATCTTGAGGGGTGGGGTCGGAGGATGGTGGGGTTTGGGGGGGGGGGGGGGGGGGCGGGATACTTTAAGAGTTGTGGGCGGGACCAAAGGGAGTTATGATATAAAATTTCATTGCAAAAGCTTAAAAGCTTCTTGAGATATCGCACGGAAATGAGAATTTTACACACAAACAGAATGTATGAATTTTTGACCTTGACCTTTGACCTTTTGAACTCGAAATCAATAATGGTCTTCTTTAGGCCATAGGGAGTTTCATTGTAAAATTTCATTGCAAAACCTCGAAGTTTTTGAGATATTGCGCGGAAATAAAGTGTTAAAACAGACAGAATTTATGAATTCATGACCTTTACCTTTGACCTTAAAATCAATGGGGGTCTTCCTTAGGCCACAGGGAGTTGTTTCATTGCAACGACTCAAAGGCTTCACGAGAGATCGTGCAGAAATGAAAGTGTTGCAGAAAGACAGACTGACAGATGGATGGACGTCAGACAGACCTAAATAAATATCCCCCACTTTACGTGAAAGCAGGGGACAAAAAGGCAAATTTTATATACCATTGTGTCCTTGAACTTTGACCTCCTGTCCGTATTTACCAATTCATGTGATGCTAGTTACATGTATTGTCCACCAGAACTGTAATTTTGTTTATTCATAATTATGTTGTTTAAAACACAAGTATTAGTTATGGCATTGAAAAAATGTGCTTAGTTTCCTTACTCTTCCATCTAAATCGAGTCATTTTGACCTTGACCTTTGACCTTTTGTTATGAAAATTGATTTTTTTCTTTGTTTTTGCTATTGTGTACTACATGTACAAATTTGGGTTTAATCCATTTTAAAATACTCAGGTATTTATATGGAAACTGATAGTAGATACCTATTGCCTTGTCTGGAATTCTTAAAAAAAACATTAGTTTGTAACCATGGTAACATGAAAACAAGATATGAATACCAAGTGGTTCTTTGCAGTTTATATTACAACTATATATGGACTTTCAAACCAATGATTTTATTTTTTCCAATATGTCTGCAAAAATTTATACCAGGCTTTTTAAAAGAACCTAAAATCTACAATTTTTCCTTAGAAAAATCATACCTAAAAAGGGGGGATATTTTTTCTATGAGGTCAAGTTACTCAAATACTAGAAATTATCTAAAGAACTATAAAAATGATGTATTTTGACAAAAAGATAAAGTCATGTAAATATATTGTTGTATTAAAGACTTTTAATTAGTCAAAAATGGTCATTTTTCATCAAAATTTAGCCTTTTTTAGGCCATGAAAAATGTATGTTGGTTGCCATGGTAACCATTGACCATAGCAACCATTTTATTATGAATTTTAGTTTCATACATCATTATAGGAATGTGTGCCAAGTTTCATAAAAATCTAAGACCTAGCGTGCCACACTCCCTATATAAGAGTTTAAATGCTTACAGAGAATGGCTATTAAATGCTGTTTTAATTTTGCGTGTAAACACATTTTTTTTTTTAAATTTCATATTGACATCACTATAATATGCCATACACATATTCGAATTTCTAGAGAGAGAGAGAGAGAGAGAGGAAGAGAGGAAGAGAGAGAGATGTCAACAATGACGCTGATCAATAGCCCCACCTTCTATTAATAATGATTATGTGACCTAAAAACCACTCCAGGTACATGCCAAATTCCGGAAGACGACACTAATGTATCGTTGCTTCAATTTTGATTCATGGCTACAGGGCATTGTTTTTGTACAAATGTTCTACCTAATATAACCATGTATACGTAACTCTTTCTCTTGCTTGTAATATATTTTGGGTTCACTTCATTTACAGCTTGGAAGAGTAGTCGCAAAAAGATCCAAAATAGGGCGTTAAGTCCACCCATTCTTTCTACAAAGTATGTATCATAAATTATTTTTGTAATGTATGCATAGTAAATTTATTTCATACCTTCAGAGTAACAGCAGCAAAGAACTTCTCATTTTTAAGATGTGCTTGGATGTCATAAGCTTTACCAAAATCCACTCCTGCAAAATATTTTGTAATGATCAATTTGCCATTCTCACCTAATTCAGTTTATGAATTCGGGACATTTAACTCGCATAATATTTGATATGTTTTGTCTTTATCATGAGATTTTCATTACTGTAAAAGGAGAAATATTCGTCGGGGATTTAATTTCGTTTATTTCGTTGTTAACAATTAGCAACGAAATTAAATCCCAAACGAAATTTTTATATGACTATAAACTGAATAGTGTTACTTTTAAAACCACGAAATTTAATGCCAGCGAAACATTTATTGATGACAAATCAACGAAATTTAATTTTATCCCCATGAAAATTTGTGCTTCTACAGTAATTAAGTTCTAAAATTTCATATTACGAAGCTATAACTGAAAAGTTCAATTTTACGAATTCATTCTCTTTCATGTTACTCTCACCATTTTTTGACCACTTGATTTCCAACCTGTCCAAATCCAGATAACAACCAATGGTGTCGTTGATTCCATAAGCCTATATAAAACAACATTTTGTAGATTTTACAAGTAAAAAGACACAAACACTTCAGAATCTTACATGGCCATTGACATAAACGTTCAGCTTATCCATTCACCTCTCCATAACTGTCAAACTGCTTGCCCCAAGACTTCTTGCCAGTTCCTCCAAATCCAAACCCAAACTTGTCTATACCCAATTCTAGAGTAGCTTTATCTGTGGACCACCCCACTCGACATAAACCCTCATCTGTTACTGTGGCTTCATAATAGTACTTTCCTACAAAATTTACATGGAAATTGTTAGGATTTAACTATTTGATTTTTAATTAAACAATACAGATCCAATCTATTACTTAATACAACATCATTTGATATTGTTCTCGATTAGGTTCACATTTCTACACAAAATGTGTATTCACCTCATTATTTCCTGAGTTAATGGATTAATACCCCTTTAATTTATTGAATAAACTTTATTTGTACATGTATCGGCTTAACTACACTTTTATTTTCATGGATTTATTTATGGGGAAAATTACTTTAAAAAAAAAACTGCAAGCAATTGATAACTGGAGATTCTGAAACTTTTGCTCTGCTCTCAGATCCAACAGTATAGGCTTGAAAATAAACTTTTTCTTGATACCTTAATTAATTAATCAATAAGACTCAATTTTTCTCACCCAAAATTCAAAAAGCAAAGGCACAATTTCAAAATTTTATGCAACTTTGTCCATTCAAATTTTAATTCATACTTCTTAAGAGAAGTATGTTTTTATGCAATAACTTACCTCCACCCACAACAGCTTTGTTACTTCTGGTTCCGTGCCAGCCCTGCGGATCTCTGGCCTGACATAACAATCCTTCTGGGTCTATTGCTGTTTAAGGAAAATATCAAGCATTAATTAATCTTAAAAATCAAACTTCAGGTTAATGGACACCCTCATTATATGAGTATCAAAGACTTCATTAATACTTTTCCTGAAAATCAAAATAAATGAAAGATAACGAATAGTGATCGATCTTCAAACAAGAGGCCCAAGGGCCTTAACGGTCACCTGAGTACAATACAACAATTTAGAGGATCCATAAACTGAAAAATGAAGCTTTGTTGCCCAAAAGCAAGAAAAATAGTATGATTAGCATCAACAAAATAATTGGTCTAGTATCTATCTGCCTATCTGACTTTCCAAGTCATTAAATCTATGAAAGTACATTTTCATTATACAATAAATTATCTTGCATAATTCTCTTATTCTATTAAGCTTTCAAATACATTATTTACATTGATTAATTATCAAAGGTGAATGGCAAAGGGGAATAACTTTGCTCAGCAGAATACAAGTTAATAGAGCCCTGGCCAGGACTAGAACACTTGACTAAATGGTCCAGGTGTTCAAAATTCTGGTAAAAATACCCTTGCATATTAAAACTTTTACTCTGTTTGCCTTGAACATCCCCAGAAGCATAGAAGATTTTCAAAGAAATGCATTTTCACCATAATATTAAATAAGTAAAGCCCCATCCTTACCCAGAACATCTGACCCATTGGCCACGAATTCACAATTCTGGAAGAAGCACCCTTTCTCATTATAACTATACACTTGCTTCTTTACTTTATAACCAGTAGTAGAAAAAATATTTTGAAAGAAATTATGCATTTTCACTATATATAATCAATAGAGCTCTTTCCCCCTCACCAGAACCCCTGACCCAAGGGCCATGAGGCATTCTTCCTTATCATAACCATGCACTTCCTTTGTTTGAAAAATACCCAGGCGCACACAAGATTTTGAAAGAATTCATGCCTATTCCCTATCTAATCAATAAAGCCCCGCCCTAACACCAGAACCCCTTACCCAGAGGCCATTAAATTCATAATTTCTGAGGCAGCCATGCTCATCATAACTATGTACTTAGTTTATTTAATATCCAGGAGCAGAGAAGATTTTCAAAGAATTAATGCAATTTTACTATATAATCAATGGAGCCCATCCCTAACACCAGAACCCCTGACCCAAGGGCCATGAAACAATTTCTGAAAAGGCAGTCATGCTCACCATAACTATGTTCTTAGTTAGTTTATTTAATACCCAGGAGCAGAGAAAAAGATTTTCAAAGAATTAATGCATTTTAACTATATAATCAATAGAGCCCCACCCTAACACCAGAACCCCTGACCCTGGGGCCATGAAATTCACAATTTTGAAAGAGGCACTCTTGTTCTTCATAACTATGCACTTAATACCCAGGAGCAGAGAAAATTATTGCAATTCTACTATATAATCAATAGAGCCCCGCCCTAACACCAGAACCCCTGATCCTGGGGCCATGAAATTCAAAATTTTGAAAGATGCACTCTAGCTCATCATAACTATATACTAAGTTAGTTTATCTCATACCCAGGAGCAGAGAAGAAGATTTTCAAAGAATTAATGCCTTTTCACTATATAATCAATAGAGCCCCGCCCTAACACCAGAACCCCTGACCCTGGGGCCATGAAATTCATAATTTCAGAAGAGGCACTCTTGCTCATCATAAATATGTACTAACTTAGTTCATTTAATATCCAGGAGCAGAGAAAAAGATTTTCAAAGAATTAATGCATCTTCACTATATAATCAATAGAGCCCCGCCCTAACACCAGAACCCCTGACCCTGGGGCCATGAAATTCACAATTTTGGAAGAGGCACTCTTGCTCATCATAACTAAGTACTAAATTAGTTCATTTGATAACCAGGAGCAGATAAGAAGATTTTCAAAGAATTAATGCATTTTAACAATATAATCAATAGAGACCCGCCCTAACACCAGAACCCCTGACCCTGGGGCCATGAAATTCACAATTTTGGAAGAGGCACTCTTGCTCATCATAACTATGTACTAAATTAGTTCATTTGATACCCAGGAGCAGATAAGAAGATTTTCAAAGAATTAATGCATTTTAACTATATAATCAATAAAGCCCTGCCCTAACACCAGAACCCCTGACCCAGGGGCCATGAAATTCACAATTTTGGAAGAGGCACTCTTGCTCATCATAACTATGTACTAAGTTACTTTATTTAATACCCAGGAGCAGAGAAGAAGATTTTCAAAGAATTAATACATTTTCACTATATACTCAATAGAGCCCTGCCCTAACACCAGAACCCCTGACCCAGGGGCCATGAAATTCACAATTTTGAAAGAGGCACTCTTGCTCATCATAACTATATACTTAGTAAATTTATTTAATACCCAGGAGCAGAGAAGAAGATTTTCAAAGAATTAATGCATTTTCTCTATATAATCAATAGAGCCCCGCCCTAACACCAGAACCCCTGATCCTGGGGCCATGAATTTCACAATTTTGAAAGAGGCACTCTTGTTCTTCATAACTATGTACTAAGTTACTTTATTTAATACCCAGGAGCAGAGAAGAAGATTTTCAAAGAAATAATGCACTTTCCCTATATGATCTATATAGCCCCACCCTAGCACCAGAACCCCTGACCCTGGGGCCATGAATTTCACAATTTTGGTAGAGGACTCAATGCTTATTACAATTATGCCAACAATTTGACTGCTTGATGTCCAGGAGTAAAGAAGAAGATTTTTAAAGATTGCATTATTTTTGGTGGTTTTAGCCCCACCCCTCAGGCCCCAGGGGGGCAGGGACCATGGAATTCACAATTTTTGTTCCCCTTCACCCATAGATGCTATATGCCAAATTTGGTTGAAATTGGTTAAGCGGTTTCAGAGAAGAAGCTAAAAATGTTCAAATGTTAACACACGTCGCACGACGCACACCGCACGCCGACGGACGAGAACGGATAGCAATAGGTCACCTGAGTGACTCAGGTGACCTAAAAATCTATAAACAATACAAATCTGTGAAGAAGGCATAAAACACTGACCCCCTCGGGGGAAATAAATGCTTCAAGGATACCATAATAAAAAGGATATCGGTAGAAATGATCAAGAAAAAGAAAGTATATGAATGATAAAATTTCAAATAAAATTCTACCCATGGCATCTCCCCTGTCATATGGATTCATCTTCCAATGTGCACTGGACGATTGACCTAAAACCAGAACAGTGTATATAAAATACAATATAAGTAGTTCTATTAAAACAATAAAAGCCCATTTGCACCACTATAAAAAATCCCTTATAAAACACATCCTAGATAATCTTAACAAGCAATAATATATATAAAATACTTTATCAAATTTCTTTTGGCTTCAGGGTGAGAGTTTCCAAAAATAACTAAAGATTCTTTCTCTCTTTCAATATAAAAGTTTAAAATGCATGTACTGCAAAAAGATTCGTCTGTGAATGACATCCATCTCTATAGTACTGATCTATTACCAGAATGGTGCGAGGAGAGTTTGCTCCCTTTTCCTTCCTGTTGGTCTCGAAGTGTCTCGTACACAATTTGGATGATTGGCAGACAAAATGCCTGAAAGATAACAACTCCCCCTTATCTTTATGAACTTTGGTCTTTATACTGTATACAGGGAGATTTTTGCCCATGTTTTATTTTCACCCCTTTCACCCTTGTCACAGGTGGGCAAATTCAAAGCAAATAGCATCCTCTTTAAATTACAGTGTTTGGGCATATTTAAAATGGGGCAAAATTATTTTCAAGCATGAAAGGGTGAAAATAACACGGGCAAAAATACCGGTAAACCTGTATACAAATGCAAAAGGTCATACACTCAACACACGAGACGGAACCATTTGGTTTATTATTGGAGATTGTTTCTTACCCCAGTTTTTCCACTTCCAGTTTCTGCTGCCTGTCAAATATAAATTTTTAAAAACCTACAGAAGCCTTAAAATTACTCAGAAATGTGTATGTCAATATATAAAATTAAATTTGAATGAACCAATTTACTAAGCTCTTTTTCTTGTTAGCATTTGTTTAAAATATATATGCCAGTTTCTTTCATGTGTTAAAGAAATCCTAATGTGAATAGAAAAAGAACTAATTCTTATTACAGTTTACAGATGTTCATGAAAATGCAAATTTCTTTGAAGATTTTTTGATATAAATAGACAGCTTTTATAGTGGTAATACTGATCTACCATTAAAACATCTCCTCCTCCCAGTATCATTGGAATGGCTTCGGCCTGCACATCTGTGGGCAAACTGTAATGATAATTGACCATTTTGTTCTTGTAATCTAAATGGATTCAGCATAAATGAAACTGTTTTTTAACACCTAGATGGATTAAGAATTCTCATTTCAAGAACATTTTTCAATTTTATGTAAACCTAGCCTTTTTAGTCAAAATTATTAAATAGCAGATCATTAACTTTTCACTGCTTAGCACAAATAATCTATTAAAATTAAAGGAAACATATTTATTGAAATATTATTCTAAAGGCTGTAAGAATCCTGAAAGATAAAATTCCAATCTGCTACTGGGCAAATAGCCAAGCTGACAAGAGGCCCATAGGCCACAACACTCACCTGAGTCACTATATCCCAGCAGTTCTTCATCAGCAGATTTTTTTTTCAAATATATTCCAGACCTAGCTATTGAAACTTTGATCACCTAATATGTCCCAACCCTACCCCTGGGGGTCATGATTTGAACAAACTTAAATCAATGCTACCTGAGAGTGTTTTCATACAGTAATATGAATCATGACTTTGCTGTTCTTGAGAATAAGATTTTCAAAAAATTTTCCAATATATTCCTACATAAAACTTTGATCACCTACTTAAGCCCTTCCCTGCCCCCAGGTAAATATTTCAACAAACTTGAATCTACACTACCTGAAGATGCTTCCATATTAATATGACTAATTGGGACTTTACTGTTCTTCTTCAGATTTTTAAAGATTATAGCAATTCCTATATATTCAATTCCTATATATTCCTATGCAATACTTTGAATGTCTATTATGGCCCCACCCTATCCCCTGGGTCATGATTTGAACAAACTTGAATCTACAATATGCACTGAAGCTTTTATCTTTTCTGGACCAGCAGTTCTTGAGATTTTTAAAAGATGCCATTAAATTTTCATCAAATCTTATTTCGAAAGAGGTTGTGGCTCTTCCTTTGAAAAAACTTGAGTCCCTTCACAGGATGCTTTGTGGCAAGTTTGGTTAAAAATGACCCAGTGGTTCTTGAGAAGAAGTTGGAAATATGAAAAGTTTGTGACGACGAAGCTAATGGAAGAAAAATTTTGATCATGCAGAAAAGCTTACTTGCTTATAATGTACAGAATGTATTTAATAATCAATTTGAATCTTTTCTCATAAAATACAATTTCGTTTAAATATAAATTCATGGACAGCAACCTCATTCTATTTCATCATGTAATTTGTTGGACACCCAATATTTGGTCTAGCTCAACCCTCGAAAACAAAAGAAATTGGTGTTGAACAAAAAATTATGAAAAGACAGTATGAGAAGTATGGTATTTTTGAAAATCAGAACAGAAAACTGGAAAGGAAAACACAGTCAGTATCTTTAAATTAAAATGACTTTTGGCTCAAAATGGTTATGTACGTATCTTATTTGAAAGAGGTTATGATAGTCAAATTTTATTTTGCTTATGCCGAGAGCCACACCACAAAAAATTCATTTAAAAGACTAGTGCATGTATTTTTTCCAAATTTTATAACCAATTTTTATTGGGAGTAATGATAGGGTAATGTACAATTAGTAACAGATGACCATGCATGTCTTGTTTCTAAATTGTCACTTAAGAAGGAATTTTGGCTGACTTTTGGGTTTGGTGACAAGTACATGTATTAAATGAGGGCATCAAAAAGTTAAATTTTGTTTTCATTTTTCAAACAAAAAGAACACTGAGGGGAGCTCTGCAGTTTTAATCAACTGTTACACTTAGAATGAAAATCAATATGCCTATCTATAAAATAACTGTATATATTGCACTAATTTTGCTCACCATTATAATTTATAGAACAGACTTAAAATGTAGGTGGCCAGTGATTTTTTTTCTCCTTCAGATATTCTGGCCTTTGCACCATTTGACATAATACCATCTAAGTTACTGTTTTAAACTTCAACCCTACCCAAGATGTTGCATGTCAAACAAGGGACCTATATAAACATGATAAATACTAGTATATATACGTCCCTGGTCAAACCAAATTTTTAGAAATGTTCACCTCCAATCCATTTCTTCGACTGCCTGTCCAAGCTCTGGCATGACACCCATTTCTAAAATAACAAATTTTAAGTCAAATGTATTCTAATACATGTATACAGAGGGACACATTCTGGGGTCCTACAGAGAACCCTAAAAAAAACTCTAAAGAATCTCAGATAACCCTAATTATTTTTAATTAATTGCACGTAATAGAAATATTTCAGGTTTTTATTATTCAATAAATCATACAATCCTCTGCGTTGCTGATGTTAGACATTGCTGAATAGGCACCTTTTTCTATTACTATTACGCAATTTATATGCATGTTATACGCAAAACACCATATTTTACGGAATGTTCTAATGCCCTGGCTTATAAAAACGTAATATACATGTACACTGAAAATAAAACCTAATTAATTACCTTCGAATGCAGTCATTTTCAGTTTTTTGCCGGTAGACGAATTTTCACGTTGATTAGGTTGGAATAAACGGATTACCGATCCCGATTAATTTTCCTCAAACTCCAATAAGAGACGCCCTCTTTTACTTGCCGGTAAATATACAGCTGGTTACTTGAACAAGATGACTAACTTATCCAATGAATCTCATTCCTCTTTTGTTTCAAGAGACACATTTATACAATATATATCTATATATCTCTGGTTTCAATAAAATGTGCCATGTACCTAAAAAGATTAAGCCACGCAGATGAAAACTAGAGACAATACTTTTTTTAATCTTATTTATTCACATCGTTTTAAACATACTGGAATGCTATTATTGCACCATTTTACCAAAAAATTATGAACTTTTGGCAAGTCTTTTGCTGTCAGTTAATACTGCTTCTCTGTTTCCCTCAGTTTGCTGCCTTAAAACAACGATTGTCAACAAAATTTGAGAAAAATTTGGACAATTCTTAACACCTTAAAACAAAGGTCCATATGGATTTCTAAAATTATCACAAAATATTATTGAAGTTCAAAAAAGAATAAAATTACAAATTCTGTTATCTTTAATTCATACAAGCCTTTGTGCATTTTTTTTTTCTCTCCAATTAATATATTACATGGTAAAACTAAATTCGTTCTCCATCTTTGTCAAAATCATCAACATTTAGGATAAGCTTGCAGAAAAATGTTACCACATCAGTATAAATAATGAACATTAATGTTTTTATTGATGGTATGCAATATTCAAAAAAAAAAAAGATCTGATGAAAAGACCTTTTCCAACCACTCCTTTCCTGTTTTTCTTTTTTTTCTTTTTGCATGGATGAAGACAGTTATCAACCATTAAAAAAAAGAACACTTGAAAAAGCTTCCTTTCTGATGCTTTTCAAAGTTCACATCATATATTATTTCACAGACCTCTTTCAAAACAACCAAACAACGTATACTTATATTATACATTACCTTTCAAAAGATCATGAAAATGATTTCCCAAAAATACTGTTTCGACTTCCCGCTCAACAATATCTGCACAAAAACTGGATGCCAATATAGCAAAAAGTGAGATCATTTATTTTCTTTCATGATATGGATATCAACTGAACTGCACAGGTATATCCACTATCCATGCATTTAAAAAAAAAATACAAGACCTGTACTTCTTTCTTTTTTCTTCCATGCCAGAGACCTGATCATAAAGTAAGTACTCAATATGCCAAGAGTTTCAGAAATGATCCACCTTTAAATCTTTCAGAATTTAATTAAGAGTCTCTTTGGGACTTTTTTAATCTTAAATAAGAAAACTTTGCTGGACAAACTAAAACATTTTTTTTACATTAACATGAACTATAGTGACTTCATTGTAGCATAAGAAAAATAAGGCGCTTTACTGATCAGAATTCAAAAATTTCAAATCAGAGCCAAAACTTAAATGACAATATTTCAAATTCATGTGTACATCCCCTCCACCCAACTCCCCACCCCTAAAAAAATTAAACAAATGGGTGCTTCTCTATTCAAAAAAAAAAAAAAAAAAAAATCAAAGGATAAACTAACATCATTCAAAACAGTTCTCTTTTAACATATGTTAGAAGAAAAATGCAAAAAAGAAAAATACCAGCCCATATTTATTGTCAAAAAATTACAAGTACAATCCAAATTCAATTTATATTGAACAAAACTCAAAAACATGTCTGAAAATGAAATTCATAGAAATCAAAATTACTTTCAATTGTTCTTTCAATAAAAATCATAATACTCCTGCAATGTCAAGTTTCTTGGGGGAAAAAAAAGAAAAAGAAAAAAACAAAAGAACAATAAGTTCTTCTATTGTAGTTGGCTGGGTTATTTTTTTTTTTCAAATACTAAGTATACAGGAAGATCTACAATGAATTGATACTCCAACTACCCACATATGGTAGTCGAGGGAACATGAAAATTTTCAAATTGCAATACATCGATTACGAAGATCATCACCACACTTCATGATATGAACACCATATTTTAGAATAACAAATAATCTAATGGTAAGCCTTCTTGAACAAATCAGATTTACAACTCTGAAAACAAAATGAACTTAACAAGAATGATTCCTTAGTAAAATCCAGATCATGAACATGCTGATTCACATAAAGACGCAATACACAAAACAATTCCATCTTTTAAAAATTTTCAATGAATGCAAAGAAACGTGAGCATGTTATACACTCCAGTTCTGTACAAATTAATGAGTCACTGATAGCATGGTCATTTAAATGAATGATAAAAACAGTTCATATGCAAAGAAACAAGAAAATACAATGAGGAAAAATGTTTATACATTGTCATTATCCATTTATGGGAAAATATGTTACAGGTGAGGGTTAAATGAAAAGTGTGTGTCGTCACATGCCCCATTCTGTCCATTGGATCCACTCCCCAGTTGTAAAAGTTGTAGCTTCCTGATAATTACTGTTACTGACCATTTTCACTGACTTCATTACTCTCACCATCCACCAGTACAACCTCCTGTCAAATGAAGCAACACATGTCATTATTTTTTTGGGGGGAGGGGGGTCTAAGATTTCTTAAATCATGCAGTTTATAAAACTGACCAATTACACAGTAATAAAATCTTGTAAGACTAATTAATACACTATTTTGATTATTTTATTTCACTGTTTTTATGTATAACATAATGCCAAGCAAAATATAAATCTAAAGTAGATTAGCATAAATACAGTTTAAAGGTTTACCTCTTTAACTGTAACCTCTACTGTTTCTTCCTCCTTAAAAATAATCTTACTTTATAAAATATTTGTCAGTAGAGTTGAATAAATTAAACTGAGACCAAAAAAATTAATATCATGTTATATCTTAATAATAACATCATATTATTAAGGGTTGTCATATTTGCACCATTTGATCTACCCGATAAGTACAAAATGGAAGACACTGATAGTGTTGGTCAAAAAACAATGGAGACCAGTACTCAACTCAAATAAGTTCTTTTGAGAACTCTGAAAGGAAAAGTGTGAAAATTTTTACCACTTTGTATATGCTGAGGTTATGTTCTTGCTGTGCATGCTGGCAGAGCTCCCATGCAGCTGCAAATTCGGCATTACATGTTGCACACGCCAGCTGGGAAGGCTCGGGGGACTCTGGATCAAAGAAAAAATTGCCATTAAGCAAGACATTCATATTTATTGCTCCTTACACAATGTAAAATAATGGTTCTTTACACTGCATCACAAATTGAATCATTGGTCAGTTAAAATTGATATGAAACTATGAAAACAATTATTTATAAAATATGGGATAATCCATTAAAAAATTATCTAAGGAGTGCAGAATGTGACCAATTTTTTTTGACACCCCCTAGGCCCATGGGCCACAATACTCACCCGAATCACTATGGCCCTGCTGTTTCTCATCATGATTTTTTCCATATTTACTTTGATCACCCAATGGGCCCCATCCTACCCTCCAGGGTCATGATTTGAACTTGAATCTACACTACCCGAGGAAGCTTCCATATGAATAATCATGGTTTTTCTTTTCTTGAGAAGATTTTTAAAGATTTTTCCTACATATTGCTATGTAAAACTTGAATTGCCCATTGTGGCCCCACTACCCCTGGGGTTATGATTTGAAAAAAACTTGAATATACACTACGTAATGAAGCTTTCATGTATGTTTCATAATTTCTGGCCTAATGGTTCTTGAGAAGATTTTTAGAAGATACTTATACTATGAAATTTTCAATAATTCTAATTTCCTCGAGAGAGAGGACAGGGTACTTCATTTGAATCAATTTAAAATTCTTATTATCCAGGATGCTATTTGACAAGTTTGGTTGAAATTGGCCCAGTGGTCTTTGAGAAGAAGTTGAAAATGTTAAAGTTTACAGATGGTTGTCTGCAAGTGTTGCATCTTAAAACCTGAGAATTGATTTTGGTGGCCATATCACAGAATAGGTAAATTAATCTGATCAGTAAACCTACCTGGAGGAGGGGTGCTCTGGCACTGACAAGAGATCTTCAGTCGACAAGGTGTCTTCTTGTGTTGTGCTAAGCTATGAAGACTGCTGAATGATGTCTTACATACACCACAAATCAAAACATCTTTGGCAGCTGGAAAATTAATATGCATAATGGAGTGAAATATCTGTGAAGCTTTTAAAATATAAAAATATAAAATCTACAGATCTTTACATTGCTAAATAAATGTTTCCTTTACTAATTCAATGAAACTTATTTCAAGCCCCAACTGTCATTAATCTGTATATCTAATCTCTCTAAAGTGGCCAACTCTTTCCAACATAAGATTGCAAATGAAAATATTGAGGTTTACCCTGTGCCAGCTGAGTAATAGTTTTGCTGGCTGGAGCGGTAGAACTATTTCCAGAGGTAAGATTGACCAATGTTCTCTTGATGCCTCCAGTTCCAGAGTCTGTCCTCATCTTCTTTGCTGGAGGTCCACTTTGTGTGTTGAGGAGACGTGATGCACCACTAGGCATACAAAGTTAGTTTTTGGAATGATAATTCCTTTTTTTTTTTAAACATATGTCTAATCTTATTTCACTTAACATACTTACAAGAGGATTCCAACTTATAACAAGTGAATATGAAATGGACTATACTGAAATTCTTATATTAAATTACATGCAAATCATGATATGCACTGCAACATGCAGTTACGCAATATCATAAAAAGCACAGTTTACAGGTTAATACTGTAAAGACTGTCTAATCTGACAGTGGTGCAACCTGTTTTACTGAGAATTCCACCCTTTATTTTCATTACCACCATTCTACTTTCAATGTTTTTTACACTGTAAAATCCAATATCCTGTCTAGTTTTGACACAAATCTTGTGTCCCGGAGCATGCTGGATTTGATAGTTTCACTATATTTTAATACACCACTATGCTAACTTTAACCCATATTAATTCTATGCAAACATTTGAATGTTGGAGATATTTATGTAAAGGTACCATGGTACTATACCTGGAAGTCTGTGCAGTTGACGTAGTCTTTTGATTTGGTCTGTGCTTTGGCTCAGAGGCAATATTGATATCTATAAAAGTTTTATCATATCACAAAATAAGAGTACAGATCAAAAAAGTTCAAGCTCTTGAAGAATATCAATGGATACAAGTACAGTCAAACCTCTTTAACTCAAACTCCATGGTACCGAGAAGAAAGTTCAAGATATCCAAGGATTCAAGATATCAAGGTTAGTACAGAGAAAAAGAGAGTACAGAGATTAGTACATAGAGAAAAAGTGACTGGGACTTCCAAATCACTTTGAGATATCCATGATATTTGAGAAATCGGTTTTCAAGATACCCAAGTTCAACTGTACTCACATACAAGATAACAAAGCATGAAAATAATTGTCAAATAGCACAAACCTAGAGCTTGCCCTGCATAAGTCATTCCATCCTCAGCACCACAGGCTCGTCTGGCATCCAGCTGATTGCTGTATTGAACAAAGGCATATCCCTTATGCATGGACAGTCCTGTGACAATCCCATAACGACTAAAGATCCCTTCTACATCTTCCTTTGAAAGAGCAATAGTATTTAGATTTCCCACAAACACTCGGGACCTGGCTGTATTGGGGTCATTTGTCACACTTCCTACATTGGCAGCTGGCCCAGAATTATAACTTTGTGTACTCATTTGAGGAGCCATTCCTCTGGGAGCTCTGTGTCCTGGGCCCAATGGACCAGGTCCTCCATGCCTTGGGGCTGGTGGTCGTGGACGCATCATTCTTGGCATCATATTTCAAAGTTTTTAATTTTTTCTGCACAAAAAAAAGGACTGGCATTGAAAGTATTCTACATGGGTCCAACACAATCTCTTGATTTAGCAAGAATTACTCAGAATAGCTTGATAAAACTTTTTATATGCAGTTTTTCACAAAAATGTTTTTGTAAGAAACAGACAAAATGTCTCAAGTATTTGACTACTGTCTCATATACGTACTATTAAAAAAGCAACTCAAATCAAAGATAGTTCTAACACTGCAGTTTTTGAATACTTTTAAGCAAAAGTTGTATTGCCATTATTTGGGCAGCTGTACACCATGTTGTGCACACTGAGGCATACATAAGTATGACTGTTTCATGTTGTGCTAAATTATTACCAGTCAATTATCTTGTTGACCAGAATTGACATCCTTTATAATTTCATTCAAGAATTAACTCTGTAGTCAAACTCAATTGCTTTAAATAGCCCCAAAATTTTTAGGACTTTCGAGTTTTAAGTCTCTCCAGGAGATGCAATTTGATTAGCAATTTTCACATGCAATGTTTCAGAAAAGTTCAAAGTTGAATACTATAACCAGTGATTTTTCTACACCCAATTTAGGTCCGAATATCTGCCCTTTCCCCATTCAAAAATTACCGATTTTTTCCCAATATCAGTTGCTTTTTTTCCCAAAATAAAACCGTTGTTGTCCTTGTTATATTGATTTTTTTTATGTACGACTTATCTAAAATGGAACGCTATTGTTCTCGGTCATTCAGACTCTTAAAATAATAGTGAAGAACAGCGGATTATTTTGTGCATTTACAAATCATAGAAAAAACATCTTGTGTGCAAATACATCTTTAGAAAGTGTAAGATGCATGTGAACTGGAGAAATTTGTAAATCCAAGTACTAGTAGTTCTACAATAAGCATCCGTGATTCCAGGAAAATCAAATTGTTTCTACACCCAGCAGATGCAACTAATATTGCAAGGAAATAGCAGCAATCTGATTAGGGTAATTTAGAAAGCTTCAACGATTAGTTAAGAAAAAATGATTTGTTAAAAATCTTGTCAGATTATTCCATCTTCAATGGCTATTATGAGACGGATTTTCTCTTACGTCTACCATTACGCCCCCCCCCCCCCCCCCCCACAAAAAAAAGAAGGAATGAAAATAATTAATGACAACTTTCAAAGATTTGTAAAAAAAAAAAGAAAGTTAAAAATGTAGAACTGTGTCTAATTTGTAATTTTGTAGTAAATATACTGAATAAATGATGTTACATTTACTTTTATATTTTATTTTACCTGTCAATTAAGATTAATTTCAATCATATAGATTTTTCCCAATTTGACACAAATGTCGATGATTTTTCCCAATTGTAAAGGCCCAGGCCACTTTTAAAAAATGTAGAAAAATCACTGATAACTGCATCAATGTGCGACTTTTTGAACCAGCAGTTTTTTTCTACCAATTGGGAATGGGTCCAGTATCGATTCAGTTGGGAAAATAGTGTCAAAATAGACACTGATGGAAAAGAGGGGAATTTTCTGTCACAACAACAAAGACAAAAGAAAATGATTGATAAAGAGGAAGAAACAAATATATATCCTAAGCGGTAAGTTGCAAAAAAGTGCCCTTCTCTTGCACCCCTCCATTTTCAGATCCTAGCTGGAACACTGTTACAACATGCGCCTTGACATTTTACGAAGGGATGTCTACTTTCGATTTAAGAAGAAGCGAAAAATTTAGTCAATTTGTACAGCGTTTACAATGTCATTGCACTTTGTTCTTTAACAGTTGTTGAATTGGAAATTTTTAGTCTCAAAATTGAGAAAAATTACTATTTTTTGGCATTGGGTATGGTACCATATCTAGGCTACCTGTACCAGTTATATAAGAAGAAAAAACCCTGTGAACATACTGAAAAAATAATGCATATAAAATAAAAGAGTGATAAAATAGGTAAATCAAACCATTCTGAATAGCTAAATAAAGCCAAATAGCTAATTCAAGCTATACAGCTTAACATTGTGCTGGACCTGCTACTGACGTACAAGTTTTACTGGCTTGCTAGTCTCGCCCTTGAAAACATAAAAAAAGCTTTAAACTGTATTGTTTACACTTAATAATAAATCAGTTCATGATTCTTTGATCAGATCGTCAAACATGATACACCCAACAAAACGCAGCAGAGGAAACGCGGTCAACATAATCGTATCGGTTTCTTTACTTGTACTTCATAGAAATCCAAATCCAATATGAAATCAATATATACACAGAAACTGAGAAACATGTGAAATAATTGAAAGCACAGGTTTGAAAATGTGATGTTTTTAAATTTGTATATTTGATCATGCGCATGGCTTTTGAGAATAGCGCGATCTCAAAATGTTCGCAACAGCACATAGTTGCATAATTGGTTTTTACAAATGATCATTATCTTAGTAAAACATCGTTACTTTAACATTTCTTGAGCTGTAAACAAACCTTAATTGCTTTTTTCACAACAAAATTTAGTGCAGCATTCTACTCCATTTTTCTCGCGGGGAAATGGAGACCGATAAATTTCCGGTTTCTCTAAAGACTGGTTTGTCCTAGTAGCAGGTTAAAATTTTTAATTAATAATGAAGTATAGCAAATAAGAATCGTGTTTTTTAAAATTTTCCTTAATTGGTAGTCTAAAGAGGCTTAAAAATTCACAATGATCCATCAAATAAATTATTTTTAAAATCAAAAAACAACAGCAACAAAATCGGGTTCGACATTACAATTTTTTTCATGAGAGAAGACTACTCTGAAGAGAGAAATCATGTCTTCTAAGAGAAGGCTTCATAAGTGGTCAATTGATTTTACCGGACATGGAAGGTGCAGTTACTTATTTTATACAACTGCTTGTGTGTGTGTGGTTTTTTTTTTTTATTATTTTAGATATTCTTCATTTTATGCATAATTACTTTACAACAGAAAACGTTGATTTTCTCCGAAATTGTTTATCAGATTCATCCTTGATAAATTGCTTCTGTATTATTTTTCATCATTTGCAAATTGAGAGGGAACTATGATAATGAGATGTGTGTGTAAACTTGATATATTGTAAATTTACAAAAAAGTATATTACATGATCTTTCCGATGTAATATTTCGGTCAGTTGATTTCTGTTAAAGACGTGAAAGAGTCATAAAATTGAATAATTATATATATATATATATATATATATATATATATATATATATATATATATATATATATATATATAAAATATCAGTATTCCTAATTTTCAATTCATAGATCAAAATCTGAGAGACAAGCTGTTCTGGTCTCCGAAATAAAACCCCCAGTTGGATATACAGAGAGTATCGGGACTTTAGCTGAACAAAGTGGCAAAGACACAGACCAGAAAATTATAGATAAGGCAAGTACAGTTAAACCTTGTGATTGCGAAATTGATGGGACTGAGAAAAAGATTTGAGATATCGAGGGTAAAATACTTTAATAATAATGTGATTGGGACTTCCAAATCACTTCAACATCTACATGGTATTCGAGATGTTGGTGTTCAAGATACCAAAAGTCAACTGTATTAGATGTAGTTGACTAGTTGTACACTTAACATATCTGACAGGAAATATATGGAGATGATATACACTCTTCCATATCACACTTTAGCCCACAGGTCGATATTGTATTGGATTTTTCATTGGCTTGTTTACATATCCCCTTTTGAAATATTTTTACAGAGATCATGGGATATAGCCCTCGGACCATTAAAACAAATTCCTATGAATTTCTTCATCATGTGGATGGCTGGGAATTCAATCTCAATTTTTCCCATAATGATGGTTGGCATGATGTTCTTCAAACCCATACAAGCCTTCATTTCCATACAGAACAGTAAGTCACAAAGTGTGAAATAACAAAGTACCAATAAGTTTGTTTTTTAATGACCATTTCAGAGGAATGTTGCCTTTTTCAAAATCACACTCTCGGTGCTTGGTTTATTGTCAGCCATCAAGAGATACTATTATTTATTGAGATGCAAATGATAATATCAGCATAAACAAAGGAAATACACTGTACTTGTAAATAAGAAAAGAAAATGCCCCCAAAGCATTATAAACCTGATGAAAATTTTGATTTCTAAGTAAGCATAGGTACAAATCAATGAAAAGATAAAATTTAACTACAGAGTGAAATTTAAGGTCACGTATACCATTCTCTTTCAGCATTTGTTATGATAGAAGGATCACAAGCCTATATACAGAAATTTATTTACATATTTGGAAACATTGTCTGTGTGGCTTTAGCAACATATAAATGTCAGACAATGGGACTCCTCCCCACTCATGCCTCTGATTGGCTAGCTTTCATGGATCCTCAAAAGGTAAAGATTAAGATACATATTATGTAACATATGTTACTTTTCATGTAGGATATTGTCCCCTGCTTTCGGGAAAGCAAGGGGGCATTATACCTGATTCGTCTGTCTGTCTGTCTATCTGTCAGTCTGTCCATCTGTCAGTCTATCAAATAAACTTTGACCTTGGTTATAACTTTTGAATGAGTAGAGATAGGGCTTTCATATTTGACCTGTACATTACCTGTGACAAGACCTTTCCAAATGTATTATTGTTTTTGACCCCATGACCTTGGAAGTTTGACCTACTTTTCAAAAGTTTTATCTTTGCTTATAACTTTTGATTGGAAAAAAGATAGGGCTTTCATATTTGACCTGTGCATTACCTGTGAAAGACATTTCTGAACATGCTATGATTTTTGACCCTGTGACTTTGACCTTGAAGTTTGACCTACTTTTCAAAAAAATAACCCTTACTTTAAATTGGTCATAAAATTTGGATGAGAAAAGATAGGGCTTATTAAAAATATACATTACCTGTGAGAAAACCTTTCCAAATATACTGTGGTTTTTGATCCTTGACCTTGAAGTTTCACCTACTTTTCAAAAAATTTATCTTTGCTTATAACTTTTGATTAAGAAGAGGTAGGGCTTTCATATTTGACATGTACATTACATGTGACAAGACTTTATGAAATATACATGTACTATGATTTTTGACCCCTTGACCTTGAGGTTTGACCTACTTTTCAAAAATTTTAACAATACTATACATTGGTCATAAGATTTGAACGAGAAAAGATAGGGCTTTCATATTTAACATGTACATTACCTTTGACAAAACATTTCCATATGTTTTATTTTTTTTGACCCCATGACTTTGACCTTGAAGTTTGACCTACTTTTCAAAAATTTTAACTTTGCGTATAACTTTTGATTGGGCTTTCATATTTGACATGTGTATTACCTGTGACAAAACGTTTCCCAGCGTGCTATGATTTTTGTCCCCTTGACTTTGACCTCCATGTTTGACCTAATTTTCAAAATTTTTAACTTTGGGGATAACTGTTGAATGACATATGATGGGGCATTCGTATTTGACAAGTGAATCAAAAATCAAAATGTTTCCAAATGTTCTATGATATTTGTCCCTGTGACCTCAAGTTTGACCTAATTTTCAAGCATTTCATCAGTGTTGCTATCTTTTGAAGTAGCGAAGATAGGGCATTCATATTTGACACGTGCATTGATGTAGTTTTGAGATGTTATAATCTTTGCCATAACGGTTATTAATTAAATAACTTGTATCTTTTTTGTATTAAGAAAAGACACACAAACAAGCATTTATTTATGCGAAATAGTTATTTGATATTCATAAGCAAGAAAAAAATTTTGCGATCTGTGGTTATTGTTGTATATAATCCTTAACATTATAAATATATGTGAAAATAAAATTTTGGTGAGCAGACAGACTGGCGTAATTACATGAAAATAAAGTTCTCACTAATAAAAAGTGATTTACAGGTGATTATTTCTTTATCACATATACACATTTAGCTGGGTGGATTGCATTGTCTCAGTACACCCATCTGAAATGGGTATCTGTTTGTTCTGGGAGGTAACTCCAATGAACAGTTGCCCTATGCAGGGGAAGACATTGACTCTCATTCACTAAGCACCAAAGACACTAGATTAAAGCAGCGGCTTTACGAGCCTCATGTAATGTAGAAGGATTATTAATACACATTCATTTACTGTATCATCAAAGTTATTTAAAGATTTCTCATTTCAGAGAATGGAGTGGAGTGGAGGAGGATTCGTTTTATAAGAGAAAGAAATTAAATGTTTCCCAAGGACTACTGTTGTCAAGAATGGTGTAAAATACTTGAGAAGAAAATACTACCCAAGAATAATGTTGTAAAATATAATGTAAAATTATAATATTATAAATATTGAAGAAAAATACTGGCCAAGAAAATTGTTGTTTGAATTTGTGTATATTGAACTTATTTATGTCATGAGGAATGAAAATTATTGTCTAGAGTGTGTAAAATATGCATTTTCGTTTTTGATGTCAAGAAATCAGAAAATTGAGTGCAATAAAACGGAAAATACTATGTCATTAATAGTACATGAGGAAACTCATTTTTCAATATAATATTTTCTTGTACATTTTAAGTATTATGTTAAAAAGAAAAGAAAAACAAAACAAAAAAAACACTGTCAAATGCTTTATTTTCACTTTTTTCGATGCATGGTAAAGAAACTGTAAAAATGCCAATCAGAGTTCGAGGGTAAGGAGACAAAAATCTGCAAATTTAGAAATGAATGGAAAACAGATGAGATTTTAGTTTATGAAAGGTTTGAGTCGCTTAAACAAAATCAATGCTTTATAAAATATCTGCAAAACATCAGAAAACAGGTGAAGAAATCTTTGATGTAACGAGGCTTTATGTTGCTCGGTGTTAATTGTGCAAAGCTGATTGCATTACTAACACATAGGAATTTTCAGAAAGCAAACTGTTGGTGCTCCAATTTGATTTTTTTTTCTCATTTACATAACAAAGCTATTTTTTATTTGATTAGATTATTGAACTACAGTGTACTATTTAAGGCACTTTCACTTTCATAGTTATTTTACCATGAAAGCAATGTAAATAAAAATGCAGGAAATATTGAGTCATGTACAATATTATTTTTGAAAAGTAAAACCCTTCTTGTAAGTGGATGAAGGTCGGTACCAAGAAGCATACTTGAAGCTGTCTACTGCTTTCTTTCATAAGGCACATCCTATGCATGGATTCAATCCACCAGGCTCATCGTAAGACTCGATCTCTACTAAAGACAAAGTTTTGTTTGTACATGGCCGTAGGAAACGGGGGGGGGGGGGGAGGGGGGCAGTGCCCCTCCAATATAGAGTACTATAGAAAACATAGATACTATATGCTTGTGCCCCCTCAATAAAAACGTCTGATGACCTTTTTTTTTTTCTTTTTTCTTTTTTTTTTAATTTTGCTTGTCAAGAAATTTTTGGTAGTTGATAGTGCCCCCCTCAACTGAAAATGTATGGCTTGCTTCCTACGGGCCTGTTGTAGGAACAGTTTTAAGAGTGGCCATATTTTGTCAATGTTCCTAATTGTTGTAGCCTGAGAGTTACATCCAAGCAAACCACAGTTATGAAGTTGACCCAAAAACTTTATTAATTCTGTAACTTTTGCCTTCTTTCTGCGATGAAATAACAATGAAATGTTCGTTACCGTATTCATGCAATTTAACGTACTATCTTCACATCGGCTGGTGATTTCATTACAAAACTAATGTGTGTCGCAAAGAAAAACAACATTTCTATCAGCAATCCTACTTTCATTCGAACACTATTCTGTGGTATGTGCTTGTTTGATCGAAATGTTTGTTACTGAAATGTCCGTTACATAGTTTTAAATTCAGTCACTTTAAACGGCGAGAAAACACATTTTAGGATAGAAGTTACAACCCACCATTATATTTGAATGTCGGTGTTGAACGTGAAACATTCAGACATTCAATTTCTTAAATAATTCATGCTGAAGACAAGGTTGGTCAATACACTGACTTTTACCGTGATTTATGAACAATATTATGATTAGGGATGTGCGATTTTATCGGTATACCGGTATATCGCGATTTTTTATTGCGTGATGCGTATCGTGATACGGAGACTAAAATACCGGTATTTGGTACATAACTATAAATTCCGGAAATTTTTCATTTATTTGTTCAAACTATGGAATGACAATTACAGGAAGTGTAAAAAAATGTTGAAAACAGTTAAACAACGGCATCCAAACAAGCTTTATATTAAATTAATAAAAATTTAAAAAGTAAAGTTATGTTTTTATAGCATATTTTTAAGAAATATTTTGGAAATTCATTTGAAATTGTAGTAAAAATTGTGTGTAAAAATATCACGATTTATCGTGATATTTGTGGGAAAAAATCGTGATATATCACGATACGAAATTTTTGCCGATACCCATCCCTAATTAAGATATTTATAAACACGCAACTGAGAATGAATAAATTTATAGACTAGGCTACTGCTTACAATTTTTCATCAATGTGTGTGCTACATATATTTATAGTAATGCTCAAAATAAACAAACATGTTTGTTACAGATGGTAACAAACATTTCATTTTCGATAGCGTATCGTATTTTTTTTTTAAATATTTTTTTAGTTATCCTGTTATGAAGTTAATTGGATTAGAAACAATGTGCCACATGTATGATAAGTTGATTCGTTTATGTATTTAAAACAATAACAATAGTATACACAGTGTTTAAAAGATGTCATATATAGTGTTTTTGAATGTTATTCTTGATCTATTGAAATTTTGACAAAACGGCATTTTGTCAATCCATTTACTGTACAGAAAGTATGTACACATTTATAATCATGTTTATCACGAATGTTTTAGTACCAAAATTTAATATTTTCAAAATTATTGTCCAATATTCATAAGTAACGAACATTTATGAAATGTGGTAACAAACATTTCTCATCATATTATTTAATTTCATTTCACTTATATTTACACCAAATGGCAAAATCACCAGCTGAAATTCAGAAAGACTACAGGAAAATACTTAAAAGAATGTATTTATAAGCATATTCAGCAGTGACTTGGATTTGTGAAATGTAACGGACATTTCTAGCGACTGCATTTAACAATTTTACAGACTGTAAAGTAGCTTTCAAGAACCAAAAGTTTTCAGAAGTGAGGAAGAACGTTTATTGTATAATTTGGTACAAATGGCATTTTAGATATGCATTGAATTAAAAAAAAAAAGAAATGGAATAATTTGTTGATAACGTACATTTCCAAAGGATATGACTATCACAGTGTAGGAAATTGACCTGTTTTTGACGATTCAGTAGAAATCAATATTCTTTTTATGATTGTTTCTCATCATTATTATGTTTATTTACGGAAAATTTTCTCACAAAATCCAAAAATATTTTTTAATGGTACAAAATTGCCCTTTTCACAATAAAATGACTTCAAAATTATTTATTGACACCTGCATAATATATTTCAACACTAACTTATGTGTTATTTGCGTCAATAAAATAATTTGTATGAATTACACTAAATTGGTATGAAAGTAAGTGAATAAGTGTTTTTAAAATTTAATTTGCATGCATTTTTCTGAATCAAAACAGGTTTTTCGTGAATTAAAATGTACGTTACTTTTTAGTCCCTTTTTGTTCAATGATTGAAAAGACATTACATTTTGTTTAGCGAAATCTATTTTCTTTTAATGAAGATTAAAACACATATTTTCAATGTTTGTTGTATCATATTTATTCTAGTATAACACAGATAAATTATTTTTGGAGTGTATAACATGCAGTATTTTTATATTCCTAAAACAAGATGTGTTTGTGAAACACTGATGCCCCCGTATGGCAACTTATAGCAAAGGTTAAACTTTTTCAAATGCAAATCAAATATGTTGGTACCCAAAGTAAGTTCTTGTCCCGAGGAATATACCTGTGAAATATGAAAGCCCTAACACAACCATTAAAAAGATATGGAAAAGGTTAAAAAAAATTTCAAAGGTAAGTCAAACATCAAGGTCAAGGTCAAATGGTCAAAATAAATGTTGCCCAAGGAAAGGCCTTCTCACAGGAAATACACATGTGAAATATGAAAGCCCTAGCACCAAACGTTCAAAAGATATGACCAAGTTTAAAGTTTATCAAAAGTAGGTCAAACTCCAAGGTCAAGGTCAAAATTGTTGGTATCCAAAGTAAGGTCTTGTCACAAGGATTACATATATGAAGTATGAGAGCCGTAGCACCAACCGTTCAAAAGTTATGGCCAAGGTTAAAGTTTTCCAAAAGAAGGTCAAACTCCAAGGTCAATATCAAAAGGTCAAAGTTGTTGGTATCCAAGGTAAGGTCTTGTCACAAGGATTGCATATGTAAAGTATGAAAGCCCTAGCACCAACTGTTCAAAAGTTATGGCCAAGGTTAAAGTTTTTCAAATGTAGGTCAAACTCCTAGGTCAAGGTCAACGGGTAAAAGTTGTTGGTATCCAAAGGAAGTCTTGTCACGAGGATTGCACATGTGAAGTATGAAAGCCCTAGCACCAACTGTTCAAAAGTTATGGCCAAGGTTAAAGTTGGGTAAAATTTTGCAAAACTGGGTCAAACTCCAAGGTCAAAAGGTCAAATATGATGGTACCCAAAGAAAGGTCGTGTCACAAGAAATACATATGTGTGAAATATGAAAGCCATAGCTCCAACAATCAATGGTTATGGGCAATGTTAAAGTTTTTGCGGACAAATAGACAGATAAACGGACGGACAGGGCAAAAAACTATATACCCCCGAATCTTCGATACGGGGGCATAAAAATGGAGAAGTCCAAATAATACCACTTACTTAAACATCCGCTATATCACTAACAATAAGTTTCATCCCGAGTATTCCATGGTTTTTAAAGATAATATGAGGCGCCGTTTTGGTATTTACTGCCAAAAAGTGATATCACCTATTCGAATAGGTGATATCACCTATTCGAATAGGTGATATCACCTATTCGAATAAGTGATATCACCTATTCAAATTGAATAGGTGATATCACCTATTCGAATAGGTGATATCACTTATTCGAATTGGTGATATCACTTATTCGAATAGGTGATATCACTTATTCGAATAGGTGATATCACCTATTCGAATAAGTGATATCACCTATTCGAATAAGTGATATCACCTATTCAATTTGAATAGGTGATATCACCAATTCGAATAGGTGATATCACCTATTTGCATTTCTTACAACAATAAATAATGAATGCTCCCTTCCTCAAGATTATCTACATTTTCATTGGAACCAAGCAAATTCGGGCTGCATTAGGGTCTGTAAGTCTCGTCACGTGACTCACGAGATTTTTCGATAATATTAACTTCCGGGTACCTCACACATGGAGATGCAAGACGTGTATTGGGTTATGCATGTTTATGGTTTACACAAAGCGTATAAGGAAAGTTTAAGCAGTTGTACAAAGCCGAAGGGTTCTCTGACTTACGATGGATAAATTGAGTGTCATAAAAGCTTGGGTGCGAGCAAGTAGGAGGAGAATTTCGATCGAAGTACAGGTAAACAAGTCAGAGAATGTCACCTGCTTCTTGGGTATTCTTGGGTGAAATAGAAGTCTTATATTATACATTTGTATCTGATTAGAA